CTCTGATCTCCGGCTCTTAATGAAAACACTGTAACACTGTTTGCAACAGCATCAGTATATGTCACACCTGCTAAGAAGAGCTGCCTAGATTGGCCAAAACAAACAATAGTTTTCATTGTCAAATCTTTCTATTGTTTTCCCTGCTAGCAGAGCCTATTTTCCTTTTGTTTTGGTGGAGTGAGAAAAATAGGCTCTCCCTCCTCCCTGCCTAAAAGAAGGGAGAGAAAGAGGAGGGACTCTGCTAGCAGAGAATCTTTTGTCTTGTTCATATTGTTTCTCGTTCTATTGTATTAATCCAATTGGGTTAAATCTYCTTAGAGCTGCAACCTTGCTCGCATATTAAGATGATAGGCATATAGTCTTGTTCCTCGTGATGGGTTACCTGTGTGTGTAGAGTTTGTATTCCTGATCAAACACTTTAGCCTTCTGTGTGAAGTCTTTTGGGGAATTAGCAATTGTATCCTACAAAATAGACATTTCAGCATATATTTAAGTAATAATTGGCTCCCAGTAGTTGAAATAGCCCACTTCCAAAATATGCTTCACTTGTCACRCACAAAGGTTTCAGTATGAGGMTACRTGCTAAATGCTCAGTCATTCGTGAMAGRCAKWAARAATAAATTTAATTTAGCACRTAGCCTCATACTGAAAYCYTTGTGCATGACAAGYGAAGCATATCTCGGAGGTGGGCTATTATCAGTAATTAACATATCACTAGAAGAGACCTTTAGCATCAGGTTTACYGCTAGCCAGTACTAATCACTAATGATCCGAAGGCACAGAAACACRCCCACCAACACAGAGAAACACTCRGCATCAATGAAATTCAATATGTCGGCTCTTCCATCAACAACTTTGTAATGATGTCTTGCTGAATGTTAAATGTTTGATGGAAAACCCCTAATGTTGAACTGCAGTAACCTAGCAAAATCTAATGTTGTGCTAACGGTCTCTACTATCAGTTCACACAGCTGATAATAACCATATTTTCCCATAAAAATTGCATACATGTCGTGATGTCAATGGCTGTTTTGAAAAACATTCAACAGTGAGTGCACTAAGTTTGCTAAATCAGTCTATTACACAGTTTAGGAGCAGCTACTAAATGCACAGTGACCATACAATGGTAAGCCAGTTTCTTTAATAATCATTAAGTACCTCTGACTTAGGGTAAAAGGTGATTTGTGTGGATCCACCACCTAGGTCCAAAGCACCCACCAATGATTCAACTCCATGATTGAACTTCCCTGGAGAGAGAAGACACCACAACTTAGGAATATTGGCATCAATGGCAAACACTGCTTTGGCACTGTTTCTTACTGTTGCATTAGCCTTGAACACCACCCATGCTTCCTTAACATATACATATAATTGAATGCCACCCATGCTACCTAATTAACATAAACATATAATTTTGCAAGGAATGGTGTTATTTATATTTGACTTCTGGTTACAGCCCTATCTGTCAATCAAGGCCGTATTTTGTCATATTTTGTCATATTTTGAGGTCATGTAGCACGAAAACGAGAATGGTGACCCCCATTTTTTATTGCATATTTGAAACATCCATGGTGCAATAAAGGACTATACAAAGTTGGGGAAAAATGACATTTCTCCTTCTTTTTCGGCTAATGAGTATAGTCGGATAATAAAATAATAATAATAATAATATGATAATAAAATATAAAGGGCACTGGAGTTATTTACTTGACCAGAATAAAATAAAACAGAACTGACAAGTACACCAGAGTTCTATTTCCTTACCTATAAGGAAATTAACAGTGACCCATGCAAAGATGCCTTCATCTAAGCCATCCATGATTGAAACACTACTTTCACCAGTCACATGGAAGGGTGAGTCTTTAAAGACTTTATATACCTACAGTCAAGAAAACAGACAGTGGTTATTATATGGGGAATGACACATATGGTGTTTTTACAGTGCGACTACTACATGTATAACCGGAGCCACTTAGACAGCGAGGGCCAATCAAATTGTAGAATAAAAACAATACATTATGACTTTGGGTAGTGGAGCCAATTATCAGAAATCAGCAGAAAACACTAGTCTTTTAACATATCTTTTTATTCCCACGAGAAAATGACAATCGCTATCTAGTTGTTTACACAGAAAACCTGGGTCAAGTTACAATTCTTGTGCAGTCTAGGTTTCTGATTGGCTCCACTAACCAAAGTTGGTATGTATAATTGTTTTCATTTTACATTTTAATTGGTTCTCTTGTTTAACTTATCTAAGTGGCCACGGTTATACTAGTTGCACTGTAATCTTTTGGGGGTCATGTTAGCATCACATGTGAGTGGGGTTTATTAAGATTTATTATAATTTTAGACTTGAATATAGAGCTTAGACACGCTATGATTGGTTGAGCACCAGTGATTCTGAGATGATAATCACTGCTAGTTGAGAAGTGAATATGATGTTTTCCAAAGTTTGCCCGAGTGGAAGTAATATCAAAACGTTCCTGAATTTTATCCTGAATTAATTTCAATTTGTGTTTTGTCTGATATTAAAGTCTAAAATTATACTAAAACAATAATTTTATTCCTCTCAAGCTCATTGATCATGGTGAATATTTACCTCACCATTCAATTCAAGACTGCTGCTCGGTAAATATTCTACCAATGATCACTTTGCCTTCGGCAAATATTGTTGTCAAATAACCTTCCTTAATGGAGGGGGTTTCCCAGTTATCTTTATATTAAATATAGAACTTTTTAGTTCATACATGTTCTCCCATTTCAGGTCACTTGTATCCATGAATTTTATGTGTCTTCACAAATGAAACATTAAAC